CTCTTCTGTGAATCTGTTGGGGCCAGGGCTTTTGTTTGCTGGGAGTTTTTATATTACTGCTCCAATTTCATCAGTAGTTATCAGCCTAATCAGGTTTTCTGATTCTTCCTAATTGAGTTTTAGGTGGTTGTATTTTTCTAGGAATATTTCCGTTTCATCCAGGTCGTCCCATTTGTTGGAATAAAGTCATTCATAGTATTTTTTTTTTACAATCATTTGTATTTCTATGGTGCCTGTTGTTACTTCACCTCTTTCATTTCTGATTTTTTTTTTTTTAATTTGGGTCCTCTCTCTTTATTTCCTGGTGAGTCTGGCTAGCGGTTCATCAATCCTGTTTATCCTTTCGAAGAACTAGTTCTTGGTTTTATTTATCTTTTGTATATTTTTTGGCTCTATGTCATTTATTTCTGCTGTGATCTTTATTATTTCATTTTTTCCTTCTGCTTTTTCTGGGATTTTCCAGTTGATCTCTTTCTAATTCTTTAAGTTGTAGTGTTAGATAACTTATTACCAGTTTTTCTTGGTTTTTTGAGGTAGGTCTGTAGTGCTATGCAGTCCATATTACTGAAAGCAATCTATAGACTCAATGCAATCCCTATTAAAATACCAATGGCATATTTCACAGACCTAGAACAAACACTCCAAAAATTTAGATGGAACCAAAAAAGACCCCGAATAGCTGCATCAATCTTTAGAAAGAACAAAGTTGGGGGAATCATCATTTCAGATATAAAGTTATACTACAAAGCCACTGTGCTCAAAACTGCCTGGTACTGGCACAAGAACAGGCATATAGACCAATGGAACAGAACAGAGAACCCAGAAATCAATCCAAGCCACTATGCTCAATTAATATTTAACAAAGGAGGCAAGAGCATACAGAGGAGCAATACTCATACAACTTAACAAAAGGAAGACAAACAATCCAATTTAAAAATGGGCAAAGGACCTAAATAGACACTTTTCCAAAGTGTACATACAGAAAGCCATGAGACATACGAAAAACTGCTCAAAGTCACTAATCATCCGAGAGATGCAAATCAAAATGAGAAACTAACCTCTTGAAGGCAGGGGAGGATGGGTGAGAAGAGATCAACTAATGAACTTGTATGTATCTATGCATAAGCTGTGGACATGGACAATGGTGGTGAGGGTCTAGGGGGGTGGGCTGAAGAAGTTAATGGGGGGGGAAAGGAGGACCTATGTCAGGGGTTCTCAACCTGTGGGTCGAACGACCCTTTCACAGGCGTCGCCTAAGACCATCGGAAAACACATATATAATTACATATTGTTTTTGTGATTAATCACTATGCTTTAATTATGTTCAATTTGTAACAATGAAATTGCAGGTCACCACAACATGAGGAACTGTATTAAAGGGTCACGGCATTAGGAAGGTTGAAAACCACTGACCTATGTAATATTTTCAACAATAAAGATTTTTTTAAATGACATCCATGAAAAAGAAAAACTCCTGTGAGGTATATATAATTATGCCTATTTCATAAAGCTCTGGAGGGTGTTTACCTCGGCAACTGAACTCAGTCACTATCTTGCAGTACTCCCAGGAACTAATGAAGACCTCCATGTCCTGCCACCATTGGAACAGGCATTAGCAGACCTCTCTGTAAAATATCAGAGAGTATTTAGGCCTGGAGGACCATGTGGCTCTGCCACAGAGAACCCACCTGCTGGTGTACTGCCAAAGCAGCAGAGACCACACGTGAACAAATCATGGCTGAGTCCCTATAACCTGTCTGCAGAAACAGCAGGAGAGTCCGGACCCGTGGTCTGGCATCCCCCGATGCAGCGCTTACTAGTGATTTGTCTATTTCAGAGAGGCCCGAAGTGGTGAAGGCAGCATTGGATTCATCCTTGGTCAGTGAGTCCCAACAGCCTATCACAAAGAATTCTGTGCATACATTTTTCCAATCCTTGGGAATTTATGTAGGAAATAGGTCATTTCCACTGACACTTTCAGGAGTCAGTTATCACCCTTGAGCACCAACACATTCCTTCCAAAAAGTGCACAGTGTGGGCAAAGGTTCAAATAAGGGAGCTGGCCCAGTGGTCATCCTGTTGGCCTGGGAGTTCAGGCCTGTGGAGGGCTGCTGTCCCCTCTCCCTCTGATGGTGTCGCCTAGGGAACAAGGCTCACTGTTTCTGCAGCGTTTCCTCAGAAGACCTCGGACACCCGTGTGGCATGCTGGGCTGTCTGGCCGTGTGGGCTCTGAGCAGAGGCTCCACAGAGCAGGGCCGGGTTCTGTCCACACTCAGCGGTGCATCCAACCTGAGAGCTGCTTCTGGTCAAAGTCCAGCTGCTGAGCAGTTCAATTCTTTTTCATTTTACCCTAGGCCAATATTCTCCTTTAATGAATAAAAGGTACAGCTACTCTTTAAATTTGTGTCGAAATTCAATAGTGTGTATTTTACTCAATTTTAAAATACTGTCAGCATGACTTTCCTCCTGGGTGGACTGGCAAAGAGTTCAGGTGCTAGACAGACAAAGAGCGACCTGAGGGAGCAGGGCAGACACTGCCCAACCCTGACACTAGCCCGTTGTCCTGACACTGAGAACACAGGGCAGTGTATGTCATTTAAGAAATGCTCGAAGGAAGGTAAATCTACAACTTTCTTTTTGCATGATTCCTCATTGTGTAACTTCCAGTAGTAACTGTCTGTGTGAGTGGGGGTAGGTTTCGTTTTACTGGCTCTTAAAATTCTCTTCTGTACAACAGGGATATTCATAAGCCCTCCCAGGTTGAAAAGAAAACTGGACTCATGTGTATGAGGGTAGACAACTTCCCCAACAACTTAGCAGGGTCTTGGGAAGGTTCATGAAGTGTTTACTGATTTGATCTGTGAACAGAGTCCCACCTCTCCGAGGACAGGCATTAGGCAAGTGTCCTTGGGGAAGAGCCACAAACCTGGACTGAGGGGCAGCTGAGATCTGGGAGGCCCCGATCCTTGGGGGAGACCCGGATGAGCTGACAGCTCACTGGGCAGCACAGGCCTGCAAGTGTAAGAATGGAAGCCTCTGGCGTCTTGAGACCACATGGGCCGTAGTTAGAGGGCCTAATGCTTCAGGACTGAAAGCCTCCTGACTCCGTTGGTATCTTTGCTTTAAATTGTGGAAAACATAGAAGAGTGTCCTCTACTTCCCAAGAGAAAAGGGCTGGAATGATAACATGAACTGCTCCCGGGAAAGCCCCATTTCAGCGCAAACAGCCTGCCGCGGAGCAATAATGGAGGCGAAGGCCGCTTTGACACCTGCCATTTTCCCAAATGGACCACTTATCCCCTGGAAGTAGTTTCCACCCTAGAAATGTGCCTCAAGGCGAGGCGGTGTCATTTTCACTTGCTTTTATTTGGGGCACAGGATCTGATGTGTGGGCAAGGACGAAGACGTTGTTTCATGTGCTATAAAATGTAGTTATCTTTTAACTCTCTTCTTGCAATGGGTGGGGGGGCAGGGCGGTCTTATACTGAAGACAGCAGAGTATGCATAAAACACCCTAAATGTGCCTAAACTTAATTAATCTCCCTAGATTTTATCCCCTTAATGCTACATAAGTTTGGAGAAGAAATAAAATAGTAATCTATATTTAAGTCTGAAGTTTTCCATATAGTTCACAACCCCAACATTAAATGTTATTTTTAAAGTTATTTTTCACTTCTGCATTTGAAATTTGCAAGTCTATGATGTTAACACAAGGCAATAAAATAATCACAGAAACTTATATGCCATAAGCCATCAGCAGAATGATTGTTTACTTACTAATACCAACGTAACAATCTGGTAAGCATCCAGTCAGTCAAATTCAAACAAAACTTAGTGAACAAATGGATGTCATCTATTTTGATTCCTTTTGCAAGAATATAATTAAATATATGCAACTATTACTATTATAAACATTATAGTGATATTTTCCCATAATTGTGTGAATACAGGGATCACTAATAGTACAGAAAGTATGTTTTTGGCATTTCTCAATATATAAAACCTATCCCATCCTATATAATAACTAGAGGCCCAGTGCACAAAATTCGTGCACTCAGGGGAGGGTGGCCACCCAGCCTGGCCTGTGCCTTATCACAGTTCAGGAGCCCCGCGATCGATCATCCCAAAGAAGTAGGCCCTGCCCACCCATCCAGGGCTCCTTGATGGATTGCCCCAAAGAGGTAGGCTGGAGCCAGGGTCCCACCTCTGTGCCGTGCAGAGCCACAGGACCCCCAGCATTGCCGTGTGGAGCCCCCACCCACTAGCACGCACCTCACCACACACGCAGCTCCGCCCCCCCCCATGCACGCCCACTGCGCACGCATCTTTTTCCCTGGCCAGGGCACCCCCACTGCTCAGGGGCTCAGGCTGGCGGCAAAGCAGGCACCAGCAACTTCACCTCCATGTACATGCGCCAGGCAGGCCACTAATGGAACGTGCTGCCCACTCGGGGCCACTCACACAGGCACCACCGCCGCCACCGTTGCTGCCACCACTGGTGCTTACAGCGCTGACAGAAGCTGTGGGGCACACCCGCAACCTACCTGCCCTCGGGGCCACTCACACAGGCACCACCGCCGCCGCCGTTGCTGCCACCACTGGTGCTTACAGCACTGACAGAAGCTGTGGGGCACACCCGCAATCTACCTGCCCCAGCGGCGGAGGCGGCGTTGGGCCTGGGGAATGGTGAATGGGCAGAAGATGGCCCTGATCATAGGCTAGGCCTAGGGACCCTACAGAGCTATGTTAACAGTAAATCACTTAAAGTCTAAAAATTCAGCATTTCAAGATGCCTGTCTAGGAGTTAAAATATTTTAATATGAATGACAAGTTGGATCTCAGAAGTCACTCTGGATCTAAACAGAGACTATTTCACATTTTATTTTATTTTTTGAAATATATTTTTATTAATTTCCAAGAAGGGAGAGGGGTAGAGAGATAGAAACACTGATTAGCTGCCTCCTGCACACTCCCCACTGGGGTTCGAGCCCCAAACCTGGGCATGTGCCCTGACTGGGAATCGAATTGTGACCTTCTGGTTCATAGGTCAATGCTCAACTACTGAGCCACACCGGTTTAAATGGTTTACCTCTGTGACTACACATTAGCCATCCAAAGCCCAGGAGGTTTTCTTTCTTTTGTGAATATGTCACAATAAAGCTTTGGCAATAAAACATCAGAGTAGCTATGCTTCCTTAGCACTCAGCACAATGGTGCACTGAAGTTAAAGTACCCACATTTCAGTTCTGCTAATCTAACTTAAAATAGAAAACATTTCAATCATCAAAAGCGAAAATAAAATGCACACACAATAACCCCAGCAAGTCCTGCTATTCTTTAAGGTTTATAAAATAAGTCTCCATCACTAGTGAATCAGCGTTCATTAACCTACATCTGCAAATAGCTTTTGTTACCTAGATCCCTTCCAAACCACTTTAACGCAAGGCTAACGGAACAGGTCAAAGAGGAAAGAGGAGGCCAAGCGGAACCTGTGTCCACATTTCTTTGTAAAGGCCGCTAGTGCTCTGGGGCGGCCCATTCCGCGGCTGGTGCATTCCTCGTCCCCTGCGCTCTGTGGAGGTGCGTTCTGGAGCTCCAGCGGGCTGTCACTGGTGCAGCAGCCCCTGTCACAATTCCAGGTAACAAAATGATGAAGCAGAGAGGGGACAGGGGCAGGAAACCGAGTGCACTCCTCACAGCACACACAGGCCCAGATGAAGCTGCTGAAATCCAAGACAGTTTCCCACAACGAGGCCGGACGGTGATCCAAGCAAGCTCTGCTGGCTGTCGCTCCTCCGAGATGGACACACACCTCCCTCTGCTACCGGGTGACCTAAAACAAATAAACAGTG